GACAGTGGGATTTGAACCCCAGACCTCTTGCATGGCGGTCTGGCAACCTAACCACTACACTAAGATCGCCAGACCTAGTCTGCTTATTATTAGATAAACAGATTGTGATATTGTTTACAAATTATTATCAATATTTTTTTTTTTTCTTTTAATTTTGACTAAATTAAAATTTTATTTTTGGAATTAGGTTATCTTCTAGAAAAGATTAAAATAAAAGTAGTTTAGATTATAAATTATTATTTTTTTTTATTGTTATTACAAGGTCTCAATACCAGTTAATTTTTATTAAATTATATATTGGTTAGTAAGAATACAATTGGTTATATGTATAATTTTAATTATTGTCTATTTAAAAATTCTGTTTAAAGGTTATCTACCAATTGTCATACCTAGTATCTATTTGTAGATACTCTATTTTAAACTCTCTAGTATCTTCATTATTCCTAATATCAATTTAATTTTATTTTTAAACTTGTACAATCTTATACTACCTTATTAAGGACCATTCAGACTAGCTTTACATCTCAGTTTCTTTTATTAGGAAGGGTTCTATCTCAAAATATCTTATTGTTCTCTTCAGAAAGAACCTGTAAAATACTCTAACTATACTGTACTATACCTAATTAAGCTTACCTTTATAGATATTCATACAAACTCAGTTTTTGCTGTAGCTTTCCACCAGATTAGTCCTCTATATATTCAGAAGTTTCACAAATCAGATTCTTCTAAATTTAGTTAGCTACTAAATCAAGTTAATATTGTTACTAATACATAGCACTAGGTTGTATTATATAGCAAACTTATTTACACATGCTCAATCTGCAACTTTTATATATAAGCTTCTTTTTTGTATTAAACATTAACTAGTATGACTGTTAAAATCTGAACTACTTTACCTAATTCAAGATTTCTACTATACAGGTCTTCTGCTTATAGATCCTATCAAGATTTATTTATGCAATATAACTTAAATATTGTATTACACTTCTAATATCTAATTAGCATTGATACAATATGATTTACAGAATTTCAATCACAAGAACTAAACAGAATTTACTATAAGTTAGATACAAAGATCTGAGTAATTATTTAAATTTGTCAATAGTAGAATTTGAACTTCAGATTTCTTATATAGTAGTCTAACAATCTAACAACTACACTAAGATTACCAGATTTTTTTTTTTAAATTTAGTAGCTATACTTCAACTTTATTCAAACAATTTGCAAAACAAACTTTTTATATTTGAATTTATATTCTCATGTGTTTAACTATTCAGCTAAAACTCATCTAATTACTCAAATAGCAGTGTTATCACAAGATAGCTTTGGATATGACTTTGAACATTTTTGAACAAAAATATAAATTAAAATTACTCACAATTTTATTAAGATAATATATATACTTTTCTAAGTGAAAAATATTTAGAACCTAAAAAAATATATAATTATCTATTTTTTAGACAAATTTATTAATTATTAAAGCTTGAATATGCTTTAGAAACTCTTAGATACTTGGATGTTTAAATATTGGACATGGTCTAAAAAAGTTTTGAATATAGTAGATATGACAACACTGCCCAAATAGTATCTATATGTAGTATACTATAGTTAGTCTTTTAAATCTACACTATCAGATTCAGTTACCCAAATCTTCCTGTGCTTTAAATAGTCCTAACAACCTAAAAAAAAAAAAAATTGTTACTATCTAAAAGCTCTAAAGCTAACTAACAAAAAAAACCTTGTCTTAAGTTAAAAACTTTATTAGACAGTAACATAATAGAATAGGTAATATAAAAGAAAAAAAAACAAAATGCCTTTTAACCTGAACTAGGTTCAAAAATATCAAGTCAGCAGACTTATAACTTATCTCAAATTATTCTCTTTCTAATATTATAATCTATTCTTATTACTTTATAATAGTATATCAATAGCTATTTGCATCTTCTTATATATCCGTAGAACTAGTTTTTTTTTTTTTTTTTTTTTTATGCAGAATACATCTTTATGGAACTAGTTTTAATAAAACAAGCAAAACAAAATACGTATTTTCACATATTTGTTTTCTGTTTTGTTTATTCCTATAGTTATATATCTAACAGAATACATTTAAAATAGATATAATAAACAATGCTGATCTTTTGTAAGGAGGAATCTAAATTTCCTACTTTTGTCAATATGAATAAAAGGCTAGCAAGAAAAAGCTAGTGATATATAGTTGTTTTCTAAGACTTTAAGGAGTGTATAGACAAAATATTTAGTTGTTCCTCTGCTTCTTAAGCCTTCTTTTACTAACTTCATCGACAAAAAGCTTTGTCCTAAAAGTTTTTTACTAAAATTTTTTATATAAAGGTTCTACCTTCTGCTAGTTATCTTATATAATATTACTTTTAGCTTGTATGCTGAATATACAAAGAAGTTCCTAAAGAGAAATAGAACCCTAATTAACTTTTATAAAAACTGTTGTTATAAAAAGGTCTTCTTCATTATTCTCTAACAAAATTTTTGTTTTTTGCTTTTTCAGTTTTTTTGGAAAAAAGGATCATCAGAGAGAGTTGTGAATAAAAAATTGAATAGTTATGCTAAGATTACCAGATCTTTATAAATCATTATTAATTTATATATATAATAAAAATCAAAAGTTTTATATTTAATATATAGATAATAATAATATTTGTAAATTTGAAGTTTATTAGAATATATAATTAAAAAAATTATTAAAAGAGAATTTTTAAATAATGTTTAAGAGTTTTTTAGTATTAATAAATTTAATAATATTCAAGTTTTTTTTGGTTTTAATTATATTGTTATCTCTGCAAAGAACCAAATATATGTTAATTAAACTTAATATACAGAGCAGGTTTTGGTAAACTTTGCAACTATAAGAACTAGATATACAGTAAGTATTTCTACAAAAGACTCTTATACAACTTTAGTAACTACTCTTCTATTAAATACTGAAGTTACTTGTTATAATTAATTCTTACACAAATATAATTACTCTATTTTAACTTAAATCAAACTCTTAGATTATTTATTCAATATTTAACTAAACTTAATTACAAACTTCTCTTTAAAATCTTATACAATTCTATACTTAAGAAAACTTATATTTATACTGATATCTTTGATCTTTTATTACCATATCATACTATATTCTATCATACTAATTATTCTAAATTTTTTAACCTACTAATTAGATCACAAATTCTAAACAATTTTTTTCTACTTAATATCACAACATATAATATAAAAGGATATAACTAACTTCTAAAAAGAAAATTATAAGAAGAGTATAGTCTTACTTATAATTTATATATTATAAATCTTACTAAAACCAAAATATAAGCTTAATATACTTTATTTTATTACTTTAATACAAAAGATTTCTTATACTTTTGAGCTAACTCTGAAACCTCTGCAGAAGAAACTTGTATTATAGTTAATAACTTAATCAAACTACATGTATACAATATTCAAATATACTTAAAGAGAGCTATCACTATTAACTTTTTCTTTAAAAACAACTTTAAATTTCAAATTATATCAGTTTACTTAAGTAATAGAATAGTAGGCTTTTTAGGTACACAGTTGTGTTTTTTTTGATAACACTATTTATTCTTGTTTTTTTTTCAAATTTTTATCATATTCTTGATAACTTATATAACTTATATATAACATATAAAAAACTTACATGAATAGTGTATTTTTATATATACTTCACACTTGATATACTTTTTTGATATCTATTTTAATTACTATTTAGCTTTCTATTACTAAGGAGTACATTCCCCTAAGGGTATACAATGTAGTTGCAAAGTGAAGTAGAGCATAGTTATCATATTTGATTTCTATTAGTTTTTTGTACTGGAGTAGTATAGTAACTCTGAATGTGAAGCGTAGCATAGTATTAGTTATCTGTTTAATTCACAATTAGTTTCTTAATACTAAGGAATATACACTTTAGGTGTGAGGGATACATTTGTGGAGTGAAGTAGAGTATAGTAATCTTTTAGTTATCAATTAGATTTCTATAGTAAAAAAGATAGTTAAATTTTATTGTCTTGCAGGCCTGAAGGATGACTCAAAAAGTCATTAGTGGTCTTCAAGCATCTGAAGTTGTTAAGCATAAAATTGTATAATATAATATCCTTTAGAATATTTTTTGCAACGTCTACAAGCAGAAGCTGTAGGTTTTCTATAATCATTACATAAAACATGTTTTTTTTGATCTCTAATATTTATGATACCCTTCAGGACATTGACATCTATGTCTGCAGACTTCTTCAGAATTGTGTATATATTCACATATATATTTACCTCCTAACTTTTCAATATATTTACCTCTCTCGATATATTCACTAAACATTTTAATAAATGAATAATTATTTTTTATTTAAACAAAAGATCTAGTATATTAATAAAAAATACTGAAAAAACATATTATTATAGCTAAGATACTTAAATATCCAGGTTGTAATCGAGAAATAAGAACTGGTAAAACTTGAGATTTTAATAAACACATGAATTTAATGAAAACTTTCATAAAGGATAATGCCAATTAGCTTTGCTTATAATGCAAAATATAGAAAATGTTACTTCAGAGCAAAATACATCTCAAACTGAAAATGTTACTCCAGAGCAAAATCTGCTATTAACTTCTGAAGGTAATCTCATATTGTTCAATAAAAACTCACTAACACTTCAGCTGAGATAGACAAATGTGTCAGCAGTCGACCCTTTAACTGATGATATTCCAAATACAGGAGCAGGATCAAGTTCTAATAATCAAGAAGAACAAAAAAAGAAATCAATTTTAATAATAGATAAATTAATAAAATAGTTATCAAAGCCAGAAATAAAAAACAATAAAAAAATTAGATCAAAGCATATACCTAAAAACGATAAAGAATGGTATGATTTAATAGAAATAGATAATGAAAAAGATAGCAAACCAAGTGATTCAGAACATGATACTGCTGAAAAAGAACCAGATATTCATTTCAAAAAAATCAAGGATCCATATATTAATAGAATAGCAGAAGCTAGAAAATTTAATGAAGGTGAGATATGTGATTATTATGTATTTGTACCAAAAGGATACTATACCAAGGGCAAGCCATTAGCTTTCTTCAAATCAATCGAAGAAAAAATTGCAGATATTTATAAAAAAAAGTTAGCTTTAAAAGGTAGATTAAAAGTAAGAATCATGTTATATACATATATAAAGAAAATTAAACTAGAAACTCCAGAACCTTTATATAAAACTTTTCTATTCAAGCATGAAACAATAGAAATTATTAGAGAAGATCAAATTAATACAACAATAGAAAAAGAATATAATAAAATTATAGATCAAATAGAAGATGAAGTATTGCAAGAATCGGGATAGTCTTTTGTTCAAGCAGAAGAAGTATTTTTAGAGATGAGTATATTCAGACTTTTGCATAGTAGTAGCTATTTATATTTACCAGAAGCTTTGAATAAACCTCAACTAGAATTAATTAATCCTCAAAATAGAGATGATAATGAATGTTTCAAATGGTGTATAAGTGCATATTATACAAGAGAAGAAGCAATAAAAAATAATAGAAAGCTACCACATCTTAATAAAATTCATAGACTTAGATGAAATACAAAAATAGCAAATTATAAAAGTATAAAATTTCTAGCAATATTACATGATATTGATAAATTCGAGAAGATTAATTAAAATTATGCTATCAATATATTTAGACTAATTTTTAGTAAAGCTTTTGGAAAAATAAAAGTAGATATAGACCTTTTATATATTTCAGAATGAAATTACTAGGTAGAACATATGATAGATTTATTATATTTAACAGAAGGTGAGGAGAATTTAAATGATCAAAAAAATTCTAATGATATACCAGAAGAACTTAAAACATATTATGTTCTTATAACAGATTTCATATGATTAATGCATAAATAGAATAATTATCATGATAAGAAATACTTTTGTCAAAATATTTACGATTCCCATATAGTAGATTAGATTTATTAGAGAAGTATATTCCAATATATCCAGGACCAAATAAAGCACCACAATGATTAATTCTTCCTGAAGAGAGTAAGAATTATGTAAAATCTAAGTATATCAAAAATATGTTAATGAAACCTTATATAATTGATATAGATTTAGAAGCAGAAGAAGTTAAAGTGGAAGAAAAAGATAAAGAAGGAAATACTATAAAAATAGTGGAACAACAAGCAGTTTCATATAGATATATAATACATTGTTCAGATAGAACTACACAAAAACCAGTAATTAATTAAAAGTTAGAAAATATAATAAAAGATTTAATAAAAAACCTTCAAGAAGATTTAGATGTTATTTTAAATAAGCTTTGCATTCTAGTTTTATATGAAAAATGATACCTGAATTATAATGAAAATATCAAATAGCAAATAAGTATTAGAACTATGAAGGTAAATTACATGAATCAGAGTATAATAAAATTCAAGTATTTGATTCAGAAACTAAAAAATATTTAGATGCTTCATATAGGAAATGTCACAGGAAAAAACTAATGATTCAAGGTAAGTTAGATAGTGAGCAAAAAGAAAAATATAAATCTTATAAGGTATGTATATACTGCAATACACATTTACCAGACAAAGAAAAAAATAGAGTGATAGATTATAACCATATTACAAGAAAGTTTCGTAGACCAGCATATAGTAGTTGCAATCTCAAATTACGAATTAATTCAGAAACAATAAAAATTTCTGTACTAATTTGTAATAGTAGTAGATATGATTTTTATCATCTTATACAAGAAATAGTGAAGGTAACAGATAAGAAAATAGTGCCTATAGCAAATAATTCTGAGCAATATATTATCTTTTTAGTAGGTTAGCAACAATTTATTAATAGTATAAAATTTTTATTATCAGGTTTAGCCAAGATAGCAGAAAATTTATGTAATGAAAAAAAGAGTCAAACTAAAACTTCCAAACTACTTACAAAATATTTTCCAATTATATCGAAGTTCTTTTCATCTGAACTACTTTTATTACTTACTTGCAAAAGAATATTCCTATATCAGTGGTTAACTAGTAAAAACAAGTTCAAAGAAACACAACTACTATCACGTAAGGATTTTAATAGTGACTTAGATAGATATAATTATTGCAATCATAATTGTAGAATAGAAAAATATGAGCATGAAAAGAAAATAGAAAAATGTGAACATAAATGCAAGAAATGTAAACATAAAAAAGAACCAGGTAATTGCAACGAATGTGAAGAAAACAAAGAATATGAACATGAGAAAATTTATACAATAACTCAAAAAGACTACAATTTTGCTCATACAGTTTGAGAAAAAACTGCTTGTAAAACCTTGGGTGATTATTATGATATTTATCTTAAAACAGATATTCTTATATTAGCAGATACATTCAAGATATTTTGAAAAGCATCTTATTCAGCATTCAAATTAGATCTAGCAAATTATTTAACTGCACCAGGTCTTGCATAGGATGTGTATATGAAGGTAACAAAAGTAAAATTAGAATTATTTAATGAGTATCAAGGAGATATGTATGACTTCTTTACTGCAATGAAAAGAGGAAGAATATCCTTAGCTAGACAACATATAGCTAGAGCAAATATTCCTGGATTAGAAGAGTATGATAGAAAAAAAGTGAAAAAATAGCTGTTATATTTAAATGCTAATAATCTTTATAGCTGAGCAATATCTCAATATTTACTAACTAGAGGATTTAAATGGCTATTAACAAAACCTTTGGAAGTATCCCACCCTTTAGTGCAGAAGATTTTAATAATAAAAGAAAGTTCAAATCGAGGATGTTGTTTGGAGGTTAAGTTATCAATTCCAAAAGAATTACATCTCAAATTTCAAGACTATTCAATATGTCTAGAATGAAAGAATATACCATATGATTGGTATAGTTCAAAACAAAAAGAATGAGCAGGTAAACAACATTTAGATACAGAAAAACTTATACTAACTCTCTATAATAAGGACTATTATGTTATTAATTATAGAAATCTACAACAATGTATAAAGAAAGGATATATTCTTGAAAAAATATATCGAATTTTAGGTTTCAAACAATCACTATAGTTAGAACTATATATTGCAATGAATACTCAATGATATGCAAAAGCAAAGAATGCCTTTGAAAAAGATTTCTGGAAATTAATGAATAACTCAGTATTTAGAAAAACTATGGAAGATATAAGAAAACAAGTGAATATAGATTTAGTTAGACAGGTATAGATTAATATCAGATTTGGCATTTGTTAGTCGAAAAATTTTCTATAGAGCAAATTTGGTAGCAGTACATCAAAGACAAACCAATATAAAACTAAATAAGCCAGAATATGTTGGAGTATGTATTCTTGAACTTTCTAAATACTTTATGTATAACTTCTGATATAGATATCTCAAAAAGAAGTATAGTGATTAAGTAAGACTTTTATACACAGATACAGATTCTTTAATCATAGAAATTGAAATAGAAAATATTTATCAAGACATGATCAATGATTGCGATTTATTTGATTTTAGTGACTATTCAGAAGATCATTAGGTAGTAAAAAATCTTCCAGAAGATCAGTAGATAATCAATGAAAGTAAATGTGTCTTAAAAAATACAAAAGTTATAGGTAAGTAGAAGGACAAAAATAGAGGAGATTATGCTATTGGCTATGCTGGAGTTCATGCAAAATGCTATAGTGTTATATGTGAAAATTTACAAAAAAATAAGATAAAAGCAAAGGGTCTTAAAAAAGCACTTATTAAGAGAGAGCTCATATATAAAATATTCGAAGACTGTGTTTTAGAGGGAAAAGAAGATTAACTACAAACTGCATAATTCCTCTGAAGTTACAGGTATTGAATGTATAGAATAAAGCAAACAAAGAGAAGTATTAACTCACTAGATACAAAATTATAATTACCTCATGATGAAAAAGCTGATCTATATTTATATGGAGATTGTGAAATTCCAGAAGAATAAACACCTAACTAAATCATTCTACTTATTGTAATGAATATATTTATTTTTTGATTAATAGTAAATAAATATAAAAAGTCTTAGTTAATAAAATCTATGTATTTGAAATATAAATATGCTCAATATTCAAGATATTGTAAAGAATGGACAAAAAATAATTATACTCGATACATATTAACCAAATATAGTTTAAACTATATCAATAATTTTAAAATACTAGAAGTTTGGTTACAATTTGCGAAGTATCATCTGCTCAAACATATACATAGATATTTATTAATACTAGAATATAATATTATTAGTAAAGACTATTGAGAAAACTTTGTATACTCTAGCATCTAAACAAAAAAATAGTGAGAT